CGGAGCAATCTGTAGAGCTGGAAGCTGAGAACTGGCGACTTTCTAGTGCAACTTTAGTACGCGGAGCAATCTGTAGAGCTGAAAGCTGAGAACTGGCGACGTTGTAGTACAACTTTAGTACAACAAATTGCAACTGCCCAGTTGCTTCAGCACGCCGGTGTGGGCTGCTGATCTTGCTTTGCCATAGACACAACTGACACAACCCAGTACGCTGTTGTGAGCTGCTGATCCTGCAGGAAGCACAGACCTTGCGCAGGTGGCGCTGTGTTGATCAAAAGTCCGGAGCGCGTGTGTTTGACTGGGGGACGCGCGTGTTTGAGAGAACCGGAACACTCCTATAGGTCAATTTGTTCTTTTAGGGAACTTCCGCCGCCGGCTGGCCCGGGAACTGCTTGTAAATATATCCAAAATATATACCTTAGCCGCCAGAACACTAAAACCCTGAGAATTCCCAGGGTCTGACAGTAAATTGGTGGTGGGGGGAGTCCTCTACCACCACACAATTTAATACCCATCCCCCCAGCCAGCAATCACCTCCCTCGGTATATCTAGTATTCATGTCCTACCCCGTCTCTTCCAAATTCTGGCATCCACACTAAGCTTTTTAGATCTTTTTAGTGTTTTCTGGTGAGCAACACCAAAACCATCCAAAACCATGAGAATTCCAAGGGTCTTGTAGTTAATTGGGGGTGGGTGGAGTTCTCTACCACCACATAATTTAATACCCATAAGGCTAGCCTAGCCACCAGAACACAAAAACCTTGAGAATTCCCAGGGTCTGACGATTAATTGGGGGTGGGGGGGGTCCTCTGCCACCACACAATTTAATACCCAAAGGCTGGCCCGTCCCCCAGCCAGCAACCACCTCTTCCCCTTTTCATCTCACCACTCCCCATATCTACCAATATAATACAATCCAATAAAAGTATCCTTAGTATATCTTAGTATTAGTGTCCTACCCCTTCTCTTCCAAATTCTGGTTTCCACACTAAGCTCTTTAGATCTTTTAATGTTTTTAATGTTTTCCAATTGTTTCCCACTATTTCTTTCATCTTCTCCACCATCAACTCTTCTCTTCATTTGTTTTACCATCCATAAAATTAATTCATGTCATAGGTACCTTACCTCTCCACCTTCTTCCAAATATTCATTTTCCCTCCCCGCCCACTCACAATTAATTGACATTTACTATTTTTTGGTGGGGAGTGTTACCTCTCTGCTGTCAGACCATGCATTTCCTCATGCCGACAAATTTTGGGGTCCCCCCCCCAACATCCTATGTCGGCAATGTCGGCAATTAATTGATGGCAATTAATTTGAAACTCAGTACCCCCCCTCAATTTAATTCCTAAGGCTGCCCCCTTTGAAGGTGCGCGGCAATTTTTGGGATTTAGCACCTCCGCTCTGGCGTTGACCGGACACTGGTGTGACTACATACTTGGCCGGGTGCCCAGCAGGACACTGAGTGCATCTAGCAGCACCCTGGGTCATGCAGTGCACCAGCAAAGGATAAAACAGTCTGTCATTCTATGTTACGCCCCTGTCACACCGCACCCTTCGACTACAAGTAGGTCTAGTATGGGAGCAAGAACTTTTTGCATTAAAACCCGCCTGCAGAACAGGGCGTATACTCCTAAAGCCTCCTACCCCAATCCTGTCCATTAAGACAAAAGCACAAATCCCTCCAATCCCTAGCACAGCGTCATGACTGGTGAAATACTTTAAATCGAGTGATCCCCACCATGGCAATTCAATCATTTGTCTTGATGCCATAGTGAGGAGCACGTCGCCATGGTCGTGGGTATTGTAGTTCTCGATTTTGCTTGTAGGTCCTCGGGTTGTGTGCTGTGGTTGTGGTTGTGTGCTGTGGTTGTGGTTGTGGCTGTGTGTTTGTGGTTGTGTTTGTGGTTGTGTTTGTTGTTATGTTTGTGGTTGTGTTTGTGGTTGTGTTTGTGTGTTTGTGGTTATGTGTTTGTTGTTGTGTGTTTGTTGTTGTGTGTTTGTGTTGCGTGTTTGTGTGTTTGTGGTGTTGTGTTTGTGGTTGTGTGTTTGTGGTTGTGCTTGTGGTGTTGTGTTTGTGGTTGTGTGTTTGTGGTTGTGTGTTTGTGATTGTTTGTGGTTGTGTGTTTGCGTGGTTGTGTTTGCGGTTGTTTGTTGTGGTTGTGGTGGTGATTGTGTTTGTGATTGTGTGTTTCTGGTTGTGTTTGTAGTTGTGTGTTTGTTGTTGCGTTTGTTGTTGTGTTTGTGGTTGTGTGTTTGTTGTTGCGTTTGTGGTTATGTGTTTGTGGTTGTGTGTTTGCGATTGTGTGTTTCTGGTTGTGTTTGTGGTTGTGCGTTTCTGGTTGTGTGTTTGTTGTAATTGTGTGTTGGGGTCCGGCAGGGAACACTGGGCGTGAATGGTCGTGGTTGAGGTCCGGCAGGGAACACGGTCGTGGTCGAGGTCCGGCGGAGGAGGACGAGGTGGAGAAGAAGGAGGCGGAGGAGGAGGAGATGGGGCTGACATAAAATCCAACAACCCTCACCTGACAGGTGTGGAAAAAACATTCAAACAATTCGGCTGAGCACTTCGCCAGCTCCAGGTTTCTGCATTGTCCTTGTCAAATTCCTGCCAGGCTGCCATCCAAACAGCCAATCCAAGCTAAGCGCTGCCTATTGCAAGCTGATTGAAATTCCCACCCAACCCGTCTTTGAAAACTGCGTCTTTGAAAGAGTCCGGAAGCTCTTCATCCCTGAGTTTCAGGATGCAAGGAGATGCTCGAAAGTGAACGATAGTGACCTGCTTCTCTCTCCCTCTCTCTATCTGTTCAGTTTGTTACAACATCAAATCCGAGCTGGCAAGAGGCTGAGAAACAGCAGAAAGTGCAAAGTACATTGAACTCAAACTCATCCAGTAAATCCAAATGTAACCAGACTACATCCTTTGTTCTTGACACCTGGCCGCTGAGCGGCTTATATATAAAGTTCCTGGCATTCCATAGCGCAGCCGAAGGTCTTCAATGAGGGCATAGGCCTTCCGTTCACTGCAACACATTTCTGGCCTGGAGTGACATCGGGGCCCTGTCCTACGAACAACTCTCATCTGCCGATACCGTTGTTTGTCCCGCTACTCCAGAAACTGCAGGGCTGCATAGTCGCGATTGAAGATGGCTGGCCCCCCACCATCCACCACTTCTGAACAAGTCCTGGCCCACTTCAACACCATTCAACACCACAAACCCAACATTTTGCCCCTTGGGATTTGATCCATCCAGTCGTGACTCTCAAGGTCTTGCCGCCCGTGGCCGTCAACAAACTCACAGCGGTTGGCACCTCTTGACGTTCCAATTTTCCGGAATGTGGCACGTCATGTTTGTCGAACAGTCGCTTCAGTTCATTGGCATCTGGAGCTTCGACGCTCCCAGAGGCACCCATGTGGCTATTGCTGCCATGATGTATATCTACAATACGGAGCCAAAGCTGCAGGTAGTTTGGCGAACACACAACACAACACATCCAGCCATTTTGGACTGGAAACTTTTGAGCTGTGCGAAGGATAATTACTGACTGAAGTCGGCTGCCTGCTTACACGCTTATAGCGCCAAGCCCCAAACACCTGCTTTAAGTATGCAAGCAGCCCACCTGAGTCAGCAGGTCGCAGTTGTGCAAATTCAGTGGCATGGCGTGCTAGATCCAACTCTTCGCAAACACGGATCTTTTTGTTGGGCAAACTTCGTGGAGCACGTGCTGCCATGCCCCGAAGTACTCGTCATCCTGCATTTCTTCGACTCACCCCCAGGGCAAGTGATTACAAGAGAACAGGCATAGTACTAAAGCTGACTTGCAACATGATTAGTTGCAGTAATGTATCTTAAACTAAAACCCGTCCTGAGCATGTTGGCGGAAACCTGGTGGTACAGGTGCAGTCTGCATGGCATAAAGAAGCATGCGCTCGATGTTGTTGTACTCCTTTAGCGGTCTCACATGGGGTCCAAAGAGGCACGCAGTGCGCAGTGTAAAAACCCATGAGGAACATCAACCTGTGTCGCCTAACTTTGTCCTTCATTGCCAGTCCACATATGAATCATTCGTATGTCCCATAAACTGGGCAATCCCAAACGGATGGTCTACCCGGGCAGGAGCACCATTGGTTGGGTGTAGTTTTCACTTTTGAAGACCCATTCTTGATTCCCACATCCTCAGGAGAAGGACATAGCTGAGCTCTGCTGATTCCATAGGTGTCCAGGCTCCAGAACGGCTCCTATGCATCAAACTACAACGGTGGGTTCCCACCATGCCCTGATCACATCATTCAATGATAAAACACACACACGCACACACATATATGTATATATATATATACTTGAGAAGAGGGATACACGAAAGGTAGGACAGCGGGAGGAGAATAGAAACAAGTAAAATATGTAGTGTGGTGTTGGTGGGGTCGAGTCAAACGTCAACTTGAAACTGGTGGAAAAGACCAAAGTTTGAGATATATACATATTTAATATATTTATTTAAACAAGAGAGAGATATATATATATATATATTTAGTCATATGATAAATCCTCAACGACAAGAAGCACTAAAACAACATGTCATGTCTCTTCATGGACCCAAGCACTGGCCCAAGCTTAGAGTGCTCAACACCAAATAACCAGCGAGCCATCGAGGTAATCCACTTCAAGTTGAGGCGTAAGTTCCCCAAAGTGGCAGTGAAGTACACTGGACCTGATCGATAACACCAAGTAAGACCCTCTCTTGTATCTCTGTTGTATGGTCAGTGTGCGAGCGACGGCGAACACACTTTTCTATGGCACGGAGTGCAGTATTGGGCTTCAAAGTCTTGAACCAAATAAATTAAGCGGCAGCTGACTGAAGAGAAAGTATGTACAAGTAACTACGGACAACAGGTGCTACGCAAGTATAGCGTAGACACGCCTAGGCGGACCTAGGACCCTACAAAACACAAACAGACACAAATTTTCTTCGCGTCGGAGCTTACGGCTGCAAAACTACAAAAGAGTGCGTATGAATTACAAAAGTTCTGGCATCGCAGAACTTGACCGTAGATGCCATTCTGGCCCATGGCCCATACCTTAAATCTTAACGTCAGACTCAGACCGTCTAAAGTTCTAATGCAAAAAGTAGAGTCTTTCGAACCTGTACAATTCTAATCGAATGCATTGTATCAGGTTGTGAAGTCTCCGTAATGTCGGAATCTTTTCATCTGCTGTAAGAAATCTTCAAAATCTATTCAAGTTCAAATGCTGTAAGGAGTTTTTGAAATCTGTTCAAGCCTAATCTATTGCAACTCTCTATGCTTCAATTGCCGGAATGTTGACAATTCTGGACGTCATTTACCATCTTCTATTGTACCCTCTGTATCCAGTGTCCCAGTTGGACTGATGCCAGGAGGAAGAAGAAGCTGAGGACTGCCACGAAGTGGACTGCCATCGTTCTTGCCGTCTCCGCTGGGACCGTTCTTTGTCCTTCTCTTTTCGGTATTGTGCGGATGCTTCACCTGCACCTCGGACTGGATCTTGCAGCGAGTTGGAAGTACACTGAAACGGGTGCTGAAGATCATGGTCGCTGCTGCGCAAGCAAAGATCTAAATGATTCAAGTGTTTCAGGTACTCATTGGCCGTAATGAGGGTTTCTTTTTGACGCGGAGGTCCGTCGTATCCAATGCGGCCTTTGTAATCCGGAATGTCGGATGTCCTCTTCACTAGCGTGTACATATCTTTGCCATAATTCAATGCAATCTGCATAAGGCAGTCTACATCGGCATCCTGTCCTGCTAGCGCTGCAAGTCTCTCTGTAAGAGTAGAGACCTCAAAATTGTAAGCAACACGCTGGTGAGGTTCACGCAACTTATTCGCAAACGCTAGGATCTGGTCTAAAATGGTGAGGACGGAGCCTGTCACCGGATCGGAATGTCGATCCTGCTTGAATTGCCTGAAGAGGTTCGCGTCACAAACTATGACGTCCACCTGGTCCGCAGCGGCCGTCGCCAAAACCTTGGTGAGTGGGCTCTTCCCTGCCGTAATGCAGTCCGCAAATGCGGAGGAGCTCAATATGGAAGGTGCAAATTCTTAACTCAGGGAGGTGACATCGTTTGCAGCAGTCCGGAATGTCGGACTTTCGTGGTGTAGGCACTCTGCATCAACTGGCTCTGCCTGGAAGAACTTGGTTGTTGCTTGGGCTGTGGCCAGTGTATCAGGGCAAACGATTACTATCATATTCTCGGCCGGATCTTCGCCGTCTTCAAGTGCTTCGCGAAGATTTGCGCGGACGCCTTTATTGGTCGTGATGCCCCCATGGGTTTCCTCATCGACCTGGCCCCAAATAATTCTAAAAGTAGTCGCGCGCATAAGCCAATTAAGGCGTTCAGAATCCAGTTGGACGCGGCGCAAAAGCTCAAGCCTGGACGCAATGTCGTCCGATGGGCGCACACAAGCGTTCGGATGTGCTTGGCCGTCCGGCAGGGCAACAAGACACATCTTATTGTACTGATGGAAAAGATCGCTGTGTCTCTCCAGGCCGCCCGCTTCAAGGAGAATCGTAACATGGGCATTGCGAGCCAAATAATGAGGCAAGAACAAATATTGGTCGCTTTCCTGGAGGTCTCGGGGCGATTGCTGCTTCCTGTTAAAATGAGGAGGATGGTTCAGATTCAACAGCGCAACAGAAACATGCTCGGTCGAACGAAGCAGTTTCGCGTCCTCCAGATTAAAGTCGCCTTGGTTAGCGCGATAGCCAGCCATGTGGCTTTGGCTCAGGTCGACTATCTGACGCATCTCCTCGCCGGAATATTGGCGGGATTGGTCGTAGAAGCAGCTAGGTCGGACAATAGGATATGGGGCGACCTCACTCTGGTTGTTCCAGTGCTCAACAACGGATGGCACCTCATTCGCATGGTAAGTCGGATTATTAGAGTAGTGATATTTACCTGCGCCCTCTAAAATGATACGGTCCACGGCTGCAAAGCCAGTAGATCGCGGCTTACCAAATCTTTCATCTGTCTCAGTCGTCTGCGGCGGGCAGCCATTCTGTCCAGGGGTTGCCATCCTTCAGATTCGGGAGCAAAAGGTGTTGTGAAATCGACAATGTCCTCCCGTTCATCTTCGCCCTGTGGCGCCGGAATGTTGGCGTCTGGAATCGTTGAGTCTAGGAACAATGAGGTTGCACTGGCATTGGTTTGACTTGTCGTGGAAGCAATCAAGGCAGGTTCCATGAGCACATGAGCGGCGCAAGAAGAGGACTTCTTAGCTTCTTCCTTCTCACATGTCTTGCGCATCATTGATGCAGGCCGCTGGTGATAGTCGAGTGTTGCTTTCTGGCATCGGCGGCGTCTTTCATCACTTCGCGCGCTCGTGAAGTAGCTCTCTTTTTGGCCGTGGGTTCATAATATCTGGTCTCCGGAATGTTGGAGGAAAATGACGCACGGCGTCGACCTGCCGAAGGAGATCTGCTGGGTTCCAAGAACCTGTCAATTTCTTAAGGACAGTGCATGTTGTCGTGCGAGACCGGGCACGAGAGGTGTCAAATTTCGCAAGTCAAGGCGGTTCAGTTCAAAAAAGAATCATAACTTTTAAGATGGTTGAACTTAAAACAAACACCATAATCAATCCCAATTCCTGCTTCAGTGCAATCCTCGTGTCTTGGTTTTATGTCGCAGGGTGCATGGGTGCTTCCAGAGCTTCCATATGGCTCAACTTTTATTAACGGCCACTCTCAGTTTGACAAGTAGGCCAAAATTAAGAATGTGTGCGACAGGTTTAAGTTTTAAGATAACCACAAAGACACGCAAACAAACACACACACATTATGTATGTGAACGCACACGTCACGCTGCCACCAGGTTCAATATAAAAAGGGACGCCAACCGCGCCGAGCCAACGACTATCCAAACATCAAGTGTGTGAATCTGACGAACATCCACAGATTTATGTCTGGTCAAGATTCTGTCAATCGCCCTTGCTTTCCACACAAAGCAATCATAACTGCGGACAGTGCCCACCCAAAAGTTATGATTCTTAAACATGTTATAGTTTCCCACAAAAAGAAGCATAACTGGTGACACAGCCCACCTAAAAGTTTTGATTCCAAAACAGTGTTATAGTTTCAAAAAAAAGAACCATAACTGGCAGCACTGGCTACCAAAAAGTTATGATTCCCAAAAAAGTTATAGTTCCAAAAAAAAGGAATCACAACTGGCTGCACTGGCTACCAAAAAGTTATGATTCCCAAATATTCCAAACAAAAAAGTTATGATTCCAAAAAAAGTTATAGTTCCAAAAAAAAGAACCATAACTTATGATTCTTTTTTCCAAACAGATGCATAGCCTAAATCTAACAAAAGCCTTCAAAATCAATTGTGGTTGCTAGTTTTGAGCTATGTGTTTTAGTGAAAAACCTAGATTTACAGAGCCCCAAACTAGCAAACACCTTTGATTTTGAAAGGTTTTTGATAGTTTTTGGCTATATATGATTTTTTTTGAAAAAAGAATCATAAGTTATGGTTCCTTTTTTTTGGAACTAATCCCGAGTACCTATTAAAAAACGGTCCCCTATTAAAAAAAGATCACGCCGGATCCCCCTAAATTCGGTTTATATTTGGTTTTAAATTACCGCCCTTTCAAACCGCTACTAAACTACCAACATGGTCGATTTTGTTGGTTTTTTTTTTAGGTTCCCCAAAACTCCCTCAAAATAGGTCTCAATACACCCTCAAAATCGACCATGTTGCGTTGCAGACTCTCCGCTGGCTCTCCTAGTAGCGATGCCAGGGGCCCCTAGTAGGGGCCTTGCTCCTAGTAGCAATAGCTAACTCTAGCTGTCTGGCTGTCCCTCCCTGTCCTGTCCCCTCCTTCAACCCTGTCTGTCCTGTCCGGTCTTTCCTGCCCTTCCGTCCACCCTCATTAATTATCCACCCTCATTCAGATTTGCAAGGGGTTACATTGCAAATGACTATTAATTAATTACTTACATCCCTCACTCAGAAGCTATGAAAAATGCCCTTCAAGGTTCACGACACACTGCGCCTGCCAAGCAGACTGCAAGTCAAGCTCAACCAAGCCCTGCGCCTGCCACGACATCTGCATTTCAAGGCCGTCAAAGTCCTGCGCATGCCACGAAATCTACAACTCAAGGTCCACAAAGTACTGCACCTGCCACGAAATCAGCATTTCAATGTCAACAGAGTACTGCGCCCGCCACGAAATCTGCACTTCAAGGTCAACAAAGTACTGCACCTGC